TCTTTGTTCGTAACCCAAACCAAATACTGATGCTGAGAGGATATACAGCTAAATCCACACTGGAGCGGAGTAATCCAGCAATGGAAATGCGGTTACACCTGTGTACATCCTATACCCAACATCCTTACATCCAATAAGGGGGTTACATCCATACTTCCATGAGGCAGGTACATCCAAAATGCATGTCTTCAGTTGTCTTCATGGCCATCTCTCCCAAAAATATTTCCATGGAATTTCTTGATGGGTGTTTTCTGTTACTCCTCAGTTTCTCTTCAGTTCCTGTTGATATAAGCTCCATACTAAATTACAATTATACCCTGTAAAATTGTGTTTCCTTGTCTGAATATGATCAATTAGCGGTGAATGATGTACTGATGGGGCACTGTGATGACACCTAGCCAACTTACATCCTTTGGTCCATGATGTTATTTAAATCCAGACGAGTAGCAGATATCCTTGGTTTGGAGACTTCCAGAAAAAATAGCTTATGTCCAGCAGTGGAAAGGTGGTGAGCGAAAAAATTCGAAAATACTCCGTCTTTTCTGATGTATAGTCCATACGTGAATTAACCTGTCCGAATATAATTCTCAAGAAAATATAGGGGTATTTAATCCATCACAGGCAACGATTTACTTCCAAGGAACGACGATCCCAGGTAAATCGTGGTTAGAATCCATGGTTCGGAAAATCTAATTATCAGAAAATTCACCAGGATAAATTCCAACAAATGTGATATATCCAAACTCACCAGGATATTCCCCACAGGTGTAATATCCAACTTGAAAGCAGGATACGTCTCACACAATAAATCCGAAATTTTGAATGATAATATCTCATACATCCATACCTTTAAATGACCAATAGATTTGCATAAATAATTCACTTAGATCCCGCGAGAAAGGTCAGGTCTGTGCAGACGGAGAAGGGATTGTTTCCTAGGTTACCTTTATATAAAACTGTAAGGACTATATTCCCCTTGTTCTATTAATAACCCAACAAGGAAATCATGTTATTGCGGGATAATACCTTTTTTTTTTACTGACACCCTGATCCCTCAGAGTGAGACCATGTCCACTTACCCATCTCTTATCCGTTCATAACGCCCCTCTCTGGTGTGAAGGGACACTGGGGGGCCAAACACTGGACCCACTGCCCCCCTAGAGAATCCTGAAACATCCCGCCCGTGACTGCTCGAGGGGGGGTTGTCATCAAGGCCCCGAACAGCACTAGGGACAGACCCAGGTTCATTGTAGTCAGTGCGTAGGTCCCTGTCCCCCATCTTGTTGACAGCATTGTGAGCCTTCTGTGCACTTTTGATATCCACAAAATCCACAAAGGCTGCCACGCCGCCCTCCGACCCACGCTTCCGCAGGACCTTGACGCTCTCGACACGTCCATAGCTGAGGAGCAAGAACAAAAAGGGAAGAGACGTCACACTTTATTGAGAGGACTATGTACGTGTCCCTTCACTCATGAGCACAATAATATCAGGAAAAAATATATAATTAAAAAGCAAAGAAAGCACAGGAGGCTGCTTTTGCCAGCCAGACAAT